TATATATATATATATATATATATATATATATATATATATATATATATATATATATATATATATATATAAATAGTATTGCGTACTTTGGTAAGCAATCTGACATCATACTGAAATAGCCTGCTGCTGGGGGCTTCAGTACATACATCGACTGACAAGTAGCCTGACTCGCAGTGGAGTGTTTTTCTTCTTCTTTTTTGAAAAAAATGGTATAGCTTAAGGTAAGCACAAAAAGTGAGCAAATGCTTATCAAAACACGCTTTAGTAAGTGTATATATAAATTTTTCGACCTTGGGAAGGTGAATTAACAAAAAAATATATATATATTCTTATAGTTTACAGCTAACAAAACGTGTTTGTGGTAAAAAATGTCTCTTCGCTTGTTTGTGGTATTAAAGCTGACAAAATTAAGGTTAGATTGTCAAAACGCATTAACTTAATTGCGGGAAGTAATTAAACCACATTTAAAAGGCTAGAATGTTTTTTAAATTATTTTAAAAATTAAAACATTCTGAATGTTTTTGTTTTTTAAAACATGCGCAGAATGTTGCTACATTGACTATCTTATAGCCTGACTCGCAACAGAGTGCTGCTACATCAACTGAAAAATAGCCTGACTAGCAACAGAGTGCTGCTACATCAACTAAGTTTGGTTGGGCCAGACAGTCTAATAAATAATTTAAAAAAAAAAAAATTTTTTTCAGTCTTTAAAGGGACTACTAAGTCCCGAGACATGTTGTGTTCATATTAAAGAGAATATTAAAAAAAAAACGTCTGAGCAAATTTTTTTTGATTAAAACTAATTAATAAATGTATACCAAGAAAAACAAATATTGTTGTTTTGTCTTCTCCATTTTCTGCAGTATTTTGAGTATGTAAAACAAAACGCGATTTTCCAGGCGCATTATACAGAGACATTTTTTACCACAAACACGTTTTGTTAGCTGTAAACTATAAGAATATATATATATTTTTTTGTTAATTCACCTTCCCAAGGTCGAAAAATTTATATATACACTTACTAAAGCGTGTTTTGATAAGCATTTGCTCACTTTGCTCACTTGATAACTTATTAAAGCGCGTTTAATTCATAGGATTTTTAGTGCATGACGTCATAGATTTTTTGTTTTGTTTTGTTTAAAACACCGATTGTTATTTTTTACATACAATTTCCAAATCATATTCATTTTTATTATATGGAATAGTTACAAAATAAAATTAAAAACAAAATAAAATTATAAACAAAATAAAATTATAAACAAAATAAAATTAAAAACAAAAATAAAATAGTATTTTATTTGTGCAACTTTTTTTAAATAATCGTCTAGACCACGTGTATTTTGATTTCTTTTGTTATAGGTTTTTCTTTTAAAATATTAGATAAAATAATTTTTAACCTAAATAATAATGCACTTTTATTAATTTACTTTGTAAATATTAAAAAAAAAATTATTAACGCATTTTTTCTCTGATTTTCAAAAATGTATATTTTGGTATTGAGGTGATCTTATTTCATTATTTATATTTCCATTATTATAACATCCAATATATATTATGGCGGGGGCTTAAAAATTAAAAAATTAATATATATTAATTTTTATTTTACAGACATACATGGAAACATAAATAACTTGAATGTTCTTAAAACATCTTGCGGAAGAATAAAAAGAATATTCGCGAACACTAAAAACCCGCCAAATTTGCGAACAAACTAATTATACTGGTTCAAAAAATACGCTGACTAAGCGAAATAAAGTTCTAGATTATTCTGTTGAAATGTTTTAGGAATTGTATTATTTACGATTTGTTACGTTTTGAGAATATATTATCAAATGAACTATTACTTTAATATTATGGCTCATTCTCGGAGCCACATCTGTAAAGCCGTAAATCTTTTAAACTATTATCATTTGTTTACAAAAATAAATGATTTATAATATATATTTTTTAAATTGTCAAAATTTTGAAAGGTAATTAAAAATTATATATTTTATTAGTATATTCTTAATTTTTATATCTTTTCTTAGTGCTTGGTTTAATTAATTGTTCGTTAGATTTGTAAAAAACTAACGAACAATTAATAAAATAAACTTTTGATAAAATAAGTAACTATAGTTAGCTATTTTATTAAAATTTAATAGTAAAATTTTTAAAGAATTTCTAGAATGTTTCCAATGACGTCATGCTCTAAAACTCCTATGAATAAATTATCAAGTCTGTATAATGCGCCTGGAAAATCGTGTTTATTTTACATACTCAAAATAACACAGAAAATGAAGACAAGCTTCGACTAAAACAACAAGATTTGTTTTTCTTGGTATACATTTATTAATTAGTTTTAATCAAAAAAAATTTGCTCAGACGTTTTTTTTTAATATTCTCTTTAATATGAACACAACATGTCTCGGGACTTGGTAGTCCCTTTAACTCTTTTTTTTACATTTTGAATAAAAAAGGCTTTGAGAAGATTGATTATTCCAGAGGAAACATATACATTATATAA